AAGAAAAATTGCAAAGGTTAGTGGATGAGTTTGGGAATTGTGTGTAAAGGTAGGAAGTTGAAAGTGAACATAGAAAAGAGTAAGGTGATGAGGGTATCAAATGATTTAGATAAAGAAAAATTGGATATCAAATTGGAGAGGAGGAGTATGGAAGAAGTAAATGTTTTCAGATACTTGGGAGTTGACGTGCCGGCGGATGGATTTATGAAGGATGAGGTTAATCATAGAATTGATGAGGGAAAAAAGGTGAGTGGTGCATTGAGGTATATGTGGAGTCAAAAAACGTTATCTATGGAGGCAAACAAGGGAATATATGAAAGTATAGTAGTACCAACACTCTTATATGGGTGTGAAGCTTGGGTGGTAAATGCAGCAGCGAGGAGACGGTTGGAGGCAGTGGAGCTGTCCTGTCTAAGGGCAATGTGTGGTGTAAATATTATGCAGAAAATTCGGAGTGTGGAAATTAGGAAAAAGGTGTGGAGTTAATAAAAGCATTAGTCAGAGGGCCACAAGAGGGGTTGTTGAGGTGGTTTGGTCATTTAGAGAGAATGGATCAAAGTAGAATGACATGGAAAGCATATAAATCTATAGGGGAAGGAAGGCGAGGTAGGGGTCGTCCTCGAAAGGGTTGGAGAGAGGGGGTAAAGGAGGTTTTGTGGGCAAGGGGCTTCGACTTCCAGCAAGCGTGCGTGAGCGTGTTAGATAGGAGTGAATGGAGACGAATGGTACTTGGGACCTGACGATCTGTTGGAGTGTGAGCAGGGTAATATTTAGTGAAGGGATTCAGGGAAACCGGTTATTTTCATATAGTCGGACTTGAGTCCTGGAAATGGGAAGTACAATGCCTGCACTTTAAAGGAGGGGTTTGGGATATTGGCAGTTTGGAGGGATATGTTGTGTATCTTTATACGTATATGCTTCTAAACTGTTGTATTATGAGCACCTCTGCAAAAACAGTGATAATGTGTGAGTGTGGTGAAAGTGTTGAATGATGATAAAAAGCATTTTCTTTTTGGGGATTTTCTTTCTTTTTTGGGTCACCCTGCCTCGGTGGGAGACGGCCAACTTGTTGAAAATATATATATTATTATATATATTATATATATTTTATTATATATATATATATATTATATATATATATATATATAATATTTAATATATATTTTAACAAGTCGGCCGTCTCCCACCAGGCAGGGTGACCCAAAAAGAAAGAAAATCCCCAAAAAGAAAATACTTTCATCATTCAACACTTTCACCTCACACTCACACATAATCACTGTTTTTGCAGAGGCGCTCAGAATACAACAGTTTAGAAGCATATACGTATAAAGATACACAACATATTCCTCCAAACTGCCAATATCCCAAACCCCTCCTTTAAAGTGCAGGCATTGTACTTCCCATTTCCAGGACTCAAGTCCGACTATATAAAAATAACCGGTTTCCTGAATCCCTTCACTAAATATTACCCTGCTCGCACTCCAACAGCTCGTCAGGTCCCAAATACCATTCATCTCCATTCACTCCTATCTAACACGCTCACGCCCACAAAACCTCCTTTACCCCCTCCCTCCAACCTTTTCGAAGATGACCCCTACCCCGCCTTCATTTCCCTACAGATTTATATGCTCTCCATGTCATTCTACTTTGATCCATTCTCTCTAAATGACCAAACCACCTCAACAACCCCTCTTCAGCTCTCTGACTAATACTTTTATTAACTCCATACCTTCTCCTAATTTCCACACTCCGGATTTTTTGCATAATATTTGCACCACACATTGCCCTTAGACAGGACATCTCCACTGCCTCCAACCGTCTCTTCGCTACAGCATTTACAGCCCAAGCTTCACACCCATATAAGAGTGTTGGTACCACTGTACTTTCATACATTCCATTTGCCTCCATAGATAACGTTTTTTTGTCTCCACATGTACTTCAACGCACCACTCACCTTTTTTCCTTCATCAGTTCTACGATTAACCTCATCCTTCATAAATCCATCCGCCGACACGTCAACTCCCAAATATCTGAAAACATTCACCTCTTCCATACTCCTCCCCAATTTGATATTCAATTTTTCTTTATCTAAATCATTTGACACCCTCATCACCTTACTTTTTTCTATGTTCACTTTCAACTTTTTACCTTTACACACATTCCCCATCTCATCCGCTAACCTTTGCAATTTTTCTTTAGAATCTCCCATAAGCACAGTATCATCAGAAAAAAGTAACTGTGTCAATTCCCATTTTGTATTTGATTCCCCAAAATTTAATCCCACCCCTCTCACGAACACCCTAGCATTTACTTTTTTTTATTTTTACCGGGAAGTAGTCTCCCTCTTTTCAACACACCCTAACCTGAGCCTCACTATCCTCATAAAAACTCTTTACAGCATTTAGTAACTTACCACCTATTCCATATACTTGCAACATCTGCCACATTGCTCCCCTATCCACTCTATCATATGTCATTTCTAAATCCATAAATGCAATAAGAACTTTCCTACCTTTATCTAAATACTGTTCACATATATGCTTCAATGTAAACACTTGATCTACACATCCCCTACCCACTCTAAAGCCTCCTTGCTCATCTGCAATTCTACATTCTGTCTTACCTCTAATTCTTTCAGTAATAACCCTACCGTACACTTTTCCTGGTATACTCTATAATATTTACAATCTCTTTTGTCCTCCTTTTCTTTTCATAAAGGAACTATACATGCTCTCTGCCAATCCCTAGGTACCTTCCCCTCTTTCATACATTTATTAAACAAAAATACCAACCACTCTAACACTATATCCCTCCCTGCTTTTAACATTTCTGCCATATATTTAAAATTTAAAATTTAAAATTAAGTCCTTTCTGAAATTTTCTCTTATACGTTTAAAGATATATTTTTTTCATTAATGTTAATGTATTTTTTTTTAAATTTGCACCAGAAGAATCTTAGAAAACTTACCTAACCTTATTATAACAAGAACAATTTATTTTAGCCTAACCCAGCTAAATATATTTTAGATTTGCTTACAATAATTTAATACTAAATATATTTTGAAATATATTTTTTTCGTTAGGTTCAGAATGATTTTGGCGAAATTATTGCATACACAAATTTTCACTTGTCCTATATGGCAAGATGAGCGTTGCTATTTAAGCCAAGGTCGCAAATTCTGCTTATTCGGCACGGGGCTTTGACCCCCGAAACTCTCTCCAGGTAAACTCCAGGTATAATATATTATATATATATATATATATTATATATATATATATATATATATATTATTATTATATATATATATATTTATATATATATATATATATATATATATATATATATATATATATATATATATATATATATATTATATATATATATATATATATATATTATATATATATATATATATATATATATATATTATATATATATATATATATTATATATATATATTATATATATATATATATAATATATATATATATATATATATATATATATATATATATATATATATTATATATTTTATATATATATAATATATATATTATATATATATATATATTATATATATATATATATATATATATATATATATAATATATATATATATATATTATATATATATATATATTATATATATATATATATATATAATTATTATATATATTATATTATTTAAAATATATATATATATAATATATATAAATATTATAATTATTATAATATTTTATTATATATATATTATATTATAATATATATATATATATATATATATTATATATATATATATATATTTTATATATATATTTATATATATATATATATATATATATATTATATTTTCATATATATATATATTATATATATTTATATATATATATATATAAATATGTATATATATATATATGTAGGCAGGTGTGTCCTTTTTGGAGATTTGGAAACTGTCACCCTAATTTGGGTGTCCCCTAGGATGAGTCCTACAGCATCCAGGAATTAGGGACTTGTTTACTGCTAGGAGGTGAACTGGAGAAAAATATGCCAAAATCATGCAAGTTTTATTACATTTATGGGAGAGCACTAAACCCCCATGGGTCGTACGGATCCTGAGGAATGGGAGGCATTCAGATTCGATCCATGAACACCATTGCTTAGATCAAGAGCCTGCACAAGTAGCAAGTGTACACATGCCCATGAATAACCCATTGTTAGTCGTGTTCATTTATTTTAGCTAGTTAGATAATTGCAGATTTAATATAAAGATTTGTCTTGTATTTTAATCCGGGGAAAGTACTAAATCCAGAGAGATCATATAGAGCCTGGGGAATGGGAGGCATTCAGATTCAGTCAATGAAAACTCTTTCTTGGATTAAGAGCACCTCACTAGCATCAAGCCATCCACCTCCCTTGAAGGGAAAGGGGCTTATTTATTTATTACAATGTTTGATATTAAGATACATTGATCTGGGTGGCCTATAATAGTTGCTAGGGCAACCAGTTTAGCTCCCGAGTTCATTATAATCATAACTAATCGTTATACCCACAAGGGTCACACAGCACTGCTCCAGAGTTCAAATCTTGGGCAGAGCAAGACACATGGCCCAGTGTCCTGAACTCCGATACCTCTTTTCACTTAACAGTAAACAGTTACTTTATCTGGAGTGTTAGTAGACCATTATGTGTCACATTTTGGGAATGGTAAGCCATGTTCCAGTAACCCCCTTTAACAATGTTGGTCTTGTCAGGCTTTGAAATAAGCCGATTCAATAACAGTTCTTAGTTTGTAAAATAAAATTAAAAAGTTATGTTAAAGACATTATCACCATACATTATTATTTTAAGGGTCATAATAGCACCTGAGGAATAGGAGGTAATCATGTTTGATGCAAGACATAGAAAGGTATCCTAACTCCCATTATTAAGTACCCTTCACCAACGTCAAGGCACCTCCTTGAAGAAACTGTGTATGTAATAACGAGTACTTTGGTTTCAGATTCGTGAATATGCGAAGTGAAAGCACAAAGATGGATTCTGAGGCAGATGATGACCTATAGAACAGAATATCTGATCCCGATTCAAGGCAGTATTGTATAGAAAGCCATGATTGGGAGTGACAAGCCGAAAGTATCAGTCCTGAGATTACACTCAGACTGCAGTGATTTTGGAAGCTTATTATTATGGGTGGAATTATTACATTAAGGGGAAGCGCTAAACCTGTGGAAGTTACAGATGGGGAAATGGAAAGCGATCAGAGTCGATCCAAGGAAATGGAAAAGTCCAATTCCATATTTGCAAGAGCCCCTCACGGATATGAGTTGGGTGGGGACTACCCGGAGTCTACCTGGAGGGCATTCCGCTAATCAACGCCCCCGCGGCCCGGTCCACGACCAGGCCTCCCGGTGGATCAGGGCCTGATCAACGAGGCTGTTACTGCTGGCCGCACGCAATCCAACGTACGAACCACAGCCCGGCTGATCCGGCACTGTCTTTAGGTATCTGTCCAGCTCCGTCTTGAAGACAACCAGGGGTCTTCCGGTAACACCCCTTATTGGTGGAGGGAGGCTGTTGAACAGTCTTGGGCCCCGGACACTTACTGTATTTTCTCTTAGTGTACCAGTGACGCCCCTACTTTTCACTGGGGGTATGTTGCATCGCCTGCCAAGTCTTTTACTTTCGTATGGAGTGATTACTGTGTGCATATTAGGGACCAGTCCCTCCAGAATCTTCCAGGTGTAGATTATGATATATATCTCTCACCTGTGCTCTAGTGAGTACAAGTCAAGTGCTTCCAGGCGCTCCCAGTAGTTAAGGTGTTTGATGGAACATATACGTGCAGTAAAGGTTCTCTGTACATTCTCTAGTTCTGCGATTTCACCTGCCTTGAATGGGGATGTTAATGTACAGCAGTATCCCAGCCTAGAGAGAATAAGCAATTTAAAAAGGATCATCATTGGCTTAGCATCTCTTGTCTTGAATGTTCTCATTATCCATCCTATCAGTTTCCTAGCAGATGTGATAGTGGCATTGTTGTGGTCCTTGAAGGTGAGATCTTCGGACATTACCACACCCAGGTCCTTCACATTACTTTTCTGCTCTATTGTGTGATTGAAGTTTGTAGTATACTCGGTCGTAGTTATTATTTCCTCCAGTTTTCCATAACGGAGTAGTTGGAATTTGTCTTCATTGAACATCATATTGTTCTCTGTTGCCCATTGGAAAACTTGGTTTATATCTTCTTGGAGCTTTGCCGCGTCCTCAATGGATGACACTCGTGCAGATCCTAGTATCGTCTGCAAAAGATGATACATTATTTTATTATTATTATTATTATTATCAAAAAGAAGCGCTAAGCCAAAAGATGATACAGTGCTGTGGTTTACATCTCTGTCTATGTCTGATATGAGAATGAGGAACAGGATAGGTGCGAGTACTGTGCCTTGTGGGACAGAGCTCTTCACTATGGCAGCATCTGATTTAACTCTGTTTACCACAACTCTTTGTGGGCGATTGGTTACAAAGTTGAAGATCCATCTGGCTACTTTGCCGGTTATCCCTTTAGCACGCATTTTGTGTGCTATTACACCATGGTTGCACTTGTCAAAAGCTTTTGCAAAGTCTGTGTATACTACATCTGCATTCTGTTTGTTTTCCAGTGCATCTAGGACCATATCATGGTGGTCTAGCACTTGCGAAAGGCAGGAGCGAGCTGCTCTGAAACCAGGTTGCCCTGGGTTGTTCAATCTTTGGGAGTCCAGGTGGTTTGCTATCCTGCTTAGAACTCTTTCAAAGATTTTTATGATGTGGGACGTTAAAGCTATTGATCTATAGTTCTTAGCTACTGCTTTGCTGCCACCTTTATGGAGTGGGGCTATATCTGTTGCTTTTAGTGACTGGAATCTCGCCTGTGTCTAAGCTCTTTCTCCATAGCATACTTAGGGCCTGTGAGACGGGTTTCTTGCAGTTTTTAATGAACACCGAGTTCCACGAGTCTGGGCCTGAGTGCATGGGCATGTCGTCGATGGCTTTCTCAAAGTCTAGTGGAGTTAGGGTTATGTCATAATTATTATTATTATAATCAAGGGGAAGCGCTAAACCCGGAGGATTTATACAGCGCCTGGGGGGGGGATATTGGAAGGTCATTCAGGCTATTTTTTGTGGAATCTGGAGCAGATCCAATTCCCTAATTCAAGAGGGGCCCTCACAACATCAAGGGAACCTTCCTTGACGGGGTTTTGCATTAAATTGGCTAACATTGGCAGGGTTTTGAGGTTCATTCATGAAAAAATTATTTGGATTGTCTATTTTTAAACTGGTTAGTGGCTCGCTGAACACTGAGCCATATTGCGATTTCAGTATCTCGCTCATTTCTTTGTTGTCATCTATGCAGGATCCATCTTGTCTGAGCAGGGGCCCTATACTAGAAGTGGTTTTTGACGTGTTTTTGGCATATGAAAAGAAATATTTCGAATTTCTTTCAATTTCACTAATTGCTTTTAGCTCCTCTTCTCTCTCCTGGATCCTGTATAAGTCCTTTAACTTTAGCTAAATGTTTTGCACTTCCTTCCATGTATCAGATAATCTGGTATTCTTGAGGAGCTCAATGATTCTTTGTCTTCTCCTGTAGAGGGAGCATCTCTCTCTCTCCAGTTTACTTCTTTTCTTTTGTCTTATAGGATTATACCTTGAACATACTTCAGCTACCAGGAGGGTGATTTTTTCGATGCATTGGTTAGGGCCCATGTAATTTAAGATATCCTCCCGGCATGTTTCATTTAGGGCATAGTTTACCTGGTCCCAGATAATGTTCTTGTTGTTGAAGTTGAATTTGGTAAAGGTACCCTCAGCTGTATGCATCTTGCTGATCAAGACTCCTGTGCATGCAAGTCTGGACTACGATTAGATTGTGATCAGAATTTGTTTTTGATATTGTTATATTCCTCACCAGTGCAAGCAAAATTGAAATCTGTGTTGGTGCAATAGGGTAATGATACGATAGCAAACAAACCATACCACGGGCAGGGATAGAACCAGCAATCAAGAGCCCAAAACTCTAGACCAACGCGTTAGCCACTGGGCCAGCTGGATACAGTAAAATTCATCCAACTAGGTATATTTATACACCATAGGAAGGTTAGCATAGGCATCACTGTGACCACAAATGCAAGTTTTTACAGACGAATCTCCTGCTATCATGGCTGTGATGAACTCTAGCTCAAGTCCCCTCAAAGCTGTCATCATGACTCACGTGTTGGTCTGGAGTTTTATGACTCCCTGACTGGAGGTTCTATCCCCGCCCGTAGTATGGTTTGCAATAGGGTAGTTTTACTAAAGTCAAAATGAGAGTCTACATTAAAATTGAGACTTTCAGCAAGGTCAGTAAGTGTTGGGGCAGTTAAGATGTCAGAAGTGGGTCCTGTGCACCCTAGGCAGGACAATCCATTAATAAATGTTGGATGGACAATACAACCTGGTAGTCGTCAGAGCAAAGCTGGTTGTTTCTTCACATAGTATGCACAAGTTGTGTATGTCCAATATGTAAGTACAAGTGTGTGTGCTTTCCTAAACCTAACAATGGTGGGAAGATGGCCAGAATCCTAAACATGGTTTGATAGAAAGCAATTTGTGGTCCATTGCAGACCAACATTGTTGCCAGCGATTGTAAAGGTGAGAGCGCACTGAAAAATAGTTGATTAAGGAATATTCACATAGGAAATCTGAAGGTCTTGAATAGCTGATAGCATGTTCATTACCTTGAATATTGGTATGTCCAGGGACCCAGAAAAATCAAGACTTTTGTGCTTGCTAGAAATGCTACATATTATTATTATTATTATTATAATAAAGGGGGAAGCGCTAAACCCATAGGATTATACAGAGAAATGCTACATAGCCAAAGCTGTATACAAAGGACGATGAAGCCATTGATTTCATTCTCATGCTCTCTGCCTCTGACTAACATAATTCTTGAACATTAAAATGGTATAAAATACCGACAGGTTGTTAGGTAAGACACATATGCAACAGTTAGGTATCTTTATTTCGAAACGTTTCGCCTACACAGTAGGCTTCTTCAGTCGAGTACATAAAAGTTGATAGAAGCAGAAGATACTTGAAGACGATGTAATCAGTCCATCACCCTTAAAGTTTGAGGTGGTCAGTCCCTCAGTCTGGAGAAGAGCATTGTTCCATGGTATGAAACAAAAGAGATGAAGTGACAGGATCGAGCATTATATAGCGCCAAGAGGTGAGACGTAGGTCACTAGGAGAGGTAAGAACTCAGATGTTGGGAGGACAGGTCCCTCTCAAATCCAGCCGTTCTCACTAGTAGAGGTTGTCGAAAGTTGATTGTAGGTCTGTACCAAGATACCCTTGTGTTGCAGTGTCAGACAGATTGAACATTAAAATGGTATAAAATACCGACAGGTTGTTTGGTAAGACACATATGCAACAGTTAGGTATCTTTATTTCGAAACGTTTCGCCTACACAGTAGGCTTCTTCAGTCGAGTACATAAAAGTTGATAGAAGCAGAAGATACTTGAAGACGATGTAATCAGCCTACTGTGTAGGCAAAACGTTTCGAAATAAAGATACCTAACTGTTGCATATGTGTCTTACCTAACAACCTGTCGGTATTTTATACCATTTTAATGTTCAATCTGTCTGACACTGCAACACAAGGGTATCTTGGTACAGACCTACAATCAACTTTCGACAACCTCTACTAGTGAGAACGGCTGGATTTGAGAGGGACCTGTCCTCCCAACATCTGAGTTCTTACCTCTCCTAGTGACCTACGTCTCACCTCTTGGCGCTATATAACGCTCGATCCTGTCACTTCATCTCTATTGTTTCATACCATGGAACAATGCTCTTCTCCAGACTGAGGGACTGACCACCTCAAAACTTTAAGGGTGATGGACTGATTACATCGTCTTCAAGTATCTTCTGCTTCTATCAACTTTTATGTACTCGACTGAAGAAGCCTACTGTGTAGGCGAAACGTTTCGAAATAAAGATACCTAACTGTTGCATATGTGTCTTACCTAACAACCTGTCGGTATTTTATACCATTTTAATGTTCAATCTGTCTGACACTGCAACACAAGGGTATCTTGGTACAGACCTACAATCAACTTTCGACAACCTCTACTAGTGAGAACGGCTGGATTTGAGAGGGACCTGTCCTCCCAACATCTGAGTTCTTACCTCTCCTAGTGACCTAAAGTCTCACCTCTTGGCGCTATATAACGCTCGATCCTGTCACTTCATCTCTATTGTTTCATACCATGGAACAATGCTCTTCTCCAGACTGAGGGACTGACCACCTCAAACTTTAAGGGTGATGGACTGATTACATCGTCTTCAAGTATCTTCTGCTTCTATCAACTTTTATGTACTTGACTGAAGAAGCCTACTGTGTAGGCGAAACGTTTCGAAATAAAGATACCTAACTGTTGCATATGTGTCTTACCTAACACCTGTCGGTTTTTTATACCATTTTAATGTTCAATCGTCTGACACTGCAACACAAGGGGTATCTTGGTACAGACCTACAATCAACTTTCGACAACCTACTAGTGAAAAACGGCTGGATTTGAGGGGGGACCGTCCTCCCAACATCTGAGTTTCTTACCTCTCCTAGTGACCTACGTCTCACCTCTTGGCGCTATATAACGCTCGATCCTGTCACTTCATCTCTATTGTTTCATACCATGGAACAATGCTCTTCTCCAGACTGAGGGACTGACCACCTCAAACTTTAAGGGTGATGGACTGATTACATCGTCTTCAAGTATCTTCTGCTTCTATCAACTTTTATGTACTCGACTGAAGAAGCCTACTGTGTAGGCGAAACGTTTCGAAATAAAGATACCTAACTGTTGCATATGTGTCTTACCTAACAACATAATTCTTGCATTAAAAAAAAATTAGAATCATATGATGACCTATTCAGTGGTTAAGTCCCCCTCAAAGAAGGTTCCTTGATGCTGGTGAGGGGCTCTTGATCTAGGGAATTGGATCTGTGCTCCACTTCCCCGAATTAAGCCTGAATACCTTCCACATCTGCCCCCACAGGCGCTGTATAATCCTACAGGTTTAGCGCTTCCCCCTTGATTATCATCATCATAATAATTCAGTGGTTAAGTAAATGGTGATGTACCTGTGTATGGGATCCACTTCACTTACAAATTCAACAGATCACATTGTCCTACTTGTACTCACACCTCAGTGTGTATCAAGAAAAATTATCACACGCTCTGAGCATCATATGTAGAAAGTCTGGATACCATACTGCTAATATCAATGAAACTCACGGCAGCTCTCGGCAAAATAATGAAAAAAAAAAAAAAAGCCCAATAGCACAAATCTGACATCAGATATTAGTGTTGGAACTGAGAGTGAGTTTTAGAAATGTGAGAGTACACTTTTGGTATCTCTTTCAAAACCCTGATTGCTCTCTCCAGCTACCCCTGTTTCTGAAAGCTCCATTTGTAATGCAGTCACTTTCTGCTTCAACTCTTTCACCAACCCTTCATACCATTACCCCTAATCTGAGCAGTGCATTGTATAATTACCAATACAGTGGACCCTCGACCAACGATGGCATCGTCTAACGTTAAATCCAACTAGCGATACATTTTAATGCAAAAATTTTGCCTCGACTAGCGCTAAAAAACTCGACCAACACGATTCGTTCCGTTCGAGATGCATCCACTTGTGGCCAGTGTTTACAAGCCAGCCAGCCACCGCGGTCCCATCCAAACATACAATCGGAACATTTCATATTATCACAGCGTTTTTAGTGATTGCACCTGCAAAATAAGTCACCATGGGCCCCAAGAAAGCTTCTAGTGCCAACCCTACAGCAAAAAGGGTGAGAATTACTATGGATATGAAGAAAGAGATTATTGCTAAGTATGAAAGTGGAGTGCGTGTCTCCGAGCTGGCCAGGTTGTACACAAAACCCCAATCAACCATCGCTACTATTGTGGCCAAGAAAACGGCAATCAAGGAAGCTGTTCTTTCCAAAGGTGCAACTATGTTTTCGAAACTGAGATCGCAAGTGATAGATGATGTTGAGAGACTGTTATTGGTGTGGATAAACGAAAAACAGATAGCAGGAGATAGCATCTCTCAAGCGATCATATGTGAAAAGGCTAGGAAGTTGCATGACGATTTAATTAGAAAAATGCCTGCAACTAGTGGTGATGTGAGTGAATTTAAGGCCAGCAAAGGTTGGTTTGAGAGATTTAAGAATCGTAGTGGCATACATAGTATGATAAGGCATGGTGAGGCTGCCAGTTTGGACCAAAAAGCAGCTGAAAAATATGTGCAGGAATTCAAGGAGTACATAGACATTGAAGAATTGAAACCTGAACAAGTGTTTAATTGTGACACTGACAATGTTGTGAAACACTTTAGGAATGTCATAAAGGAACGGCAGGTACAGGCCTCTATGGACAGATATGTTGTGCGACAGAGGTCCAGTGACTCGAGCTGGTCCTAGTGGCATTAAAAGAAGAAGGGAATTAACCCCTAATGGAAGGGGATTCCCCTTCTAAACACTAACACCATCCACACTCTCCCCTCCTCCCATCCCATCAATCATCACCAGATCTTCAATAAAGGTAAGTGTCATGTTATTGTACATGTCTTCTTCAGTTTGTGTGTATTAAAATTAATATTTCATGTGGTAAAATTTTTTTTTTCAATACTTTTGGGTGTCTTGCACGGATTAATTTAATTTCCATTATTTCTTATGGGGAAATTAACTCGACTAACAATAATTTCGATTAACGATGAGCTCTGAGGAACGGATTAATATCGTTGGTCGAGGATCCACTGTATTGGTTTAGTGATTTTTATTGTGGATATAATATTAATAAGTTATAATACAGTACAGTAATAATGAAGAGTAAAACACCAAATATAATAATAAATTTAATTTGACATCAGTACATTAGTTACATTTTCATATAACAGAAAAGTGAGGAAATTAATCACAGTGATCAAGGCATTTGAGAATACAGTATATGTACATATAAATACAGTAATCTCTTCTTTTGAATAATAGGTGCATGGGCAAAATTCAAACAAAATTGGACACCTCATATTCAAACAAAAAATATTCTTCAACATTTTTATTGCAGTTTACCAAGAATATTTTTATACTTATTACTGTATGTATTCTAAAAATCTGATATAGTTATGTCAGGAGCATTCTAAATTCAAATTTTTACTAACAACAACTTTTATTTGAAGAATTCTGATTTAGAAATTTTTCTACTATAAATTCAGAAATTTTCCACTAGTTCAGATACTGGCAATACGTAACATATGCAAAATTGGACTAGCATACTTTTATTACCCATATATGACTTTTTCCTTTCCAGTGGGAAACACAAATTATCACTGATTATATTACAGGTGAATCTGTTTACATGAAACACTTTTGAACAGTTAATAAAGAGAATACATTATAAATGGTAAAATTCTCATCATACAATTTTTCTTGATGTACTTTCTATAAAATGGATTTTCTGCTCTATACATGTTCCTTTGACATGTTTATTCCCATATGGTGCTACTGAACAATATCTTAATGGTTCAATCTTATATCTCAATTACATAAGAGTTACAGTATTATACATGGTGCAGCTGTATGTTTCTATTTTCTGATAACTGCTATGCTCTTATAATTAGCTCTGCAAAGGAAAACAACAATGGCTTTCTTTGTGCTTAACAATATTTTATAACATGTAAATCACACATTGTATACTATGCAAAGAAATATAAATGTGAATTTGAATTAAATATATTTTCCAACACATAGGAGTCACTAAATCAATTCCAAAAAAGTATACATCATAAATTAGCAAATTACCTACACTTTGGAGACAAAACTTTTGATGATCTTCCAGTCTGTCCTGGACCATTCTGTCTTGATAATGGTGTAGAATGAACTGAAATGTTACTGTACCTCTACAAAGTGTGGGTTATTTGTGAATTGACGCAGTAACAGTATTGTGAATTTTTACTTTTTAATTATTGTGAATTTGAAGTCTATTTGCAACTTAATAACAATATACAGTACTTAAGATGTGTGCATCAAGTGTTTATGCCAGGAATATATTAAGAAAAGAAAACAAACAAGAACAAGTGCCATCACAGTGATGAATATTTACATAATACAGTCTACATGAAAATATTTACACAAAACATGAGAAAAGTTTATAGTATCTGAAGTTATTATTACTACTGAAGTACTAGTATTAATATATTATTACTACTGTAGCACTAGTACAGTATTACTATTACTACTGCAGTACTTTTACTGTTACTACTACTGCAGTATTAGTACTGTACAGTACTACTGCAAAAAAATTAAATTTACCAATTTCCATAAGCTGTATAATTGTTATATTATTAATTTTGGAAACAAGTACCCCACACACAAAAAAACTTAGGACATATGTATATTCAACTTTAAAAGATATACAAACAACAAATGAACAATTATAATAATATATACTGTACATAAAAGAGAAATGTTACATTCCTTATATTGTAATTTACCCTAATTCCAGTACTGGTATACACAATACAATTTAAAGAAAATGCATACCGTAATAAAAAAAAATTGCTAGGTATTTGATAAAATGATATTTGAGCAAATAAATCATTTACTGAAAGATATTAGTCCATAACCTTTTGGAATTTAAGCCAGTGGCTATAAAGGGTAATAAATTATACTGAGATTTTATAAACCTGTACAAGGCCTATATAATACATTACAGTACAAAAAGGAGATAAAAATTGGATGGTACAAACAAAAAAATAAGGTATTTCTCATGCTTCTAAATTCTAATCTTCATTTTATAAGAGCATATGTATATACAGTGGACCCCCGCTTAACGATCACCTCCCAATGCGACCAATTATGTAAGTGTATTTATGCAAGTGCGTTTGTACGTGTATGTTTGGGGGTCTGAAATGGACTAATCTACTTCACAATATTCCTTATGGGAACAAATTTGGTAAGTACTGGCACCTGAACATAACTTCTGGAATGAAAAAATATCATTAACCGGGGGTCCACTGTATATATATGCTCCTTGCTTAGCGATTAATTCGTTTAACGATGTCATCTTAGGAACGGAACTCCGTCGTTAAGTGAGGAGAGGCTGTACAGGGCATGAAAGTGAAATGCTTACCTATGTTTATTCTAATCATGGGAAACACTAAGCCCTTACGGGTTATACAGGGCTTGGGAGGCATTTAGGTTCAATCCAAGGAAGGAGGTTAAGAGCAGTTCCTTGAATCAACAGCCCTTAATGGCATCAGTGAAGGCTCTCAGGCAGACAAAATGAACATTTTATATATATAAGTAATTTCATTTACGGTACTCTATTGTACGTACTGTCTTTTTTGAAGTGCTCTTCACTAACATTATGTACAGTAAACCCTCAATGTAGTGGACTAATAGAGGGGAATGTCTGAGTGTCCATTAAATAAGAATGTTTAAAAAAAAAAAATGAGGTATTCTACTATATGCCTAATAAACAGTGTAGACATAATATAATGTAATAAATACTGAAAGTAAAGAAATTGAAATTACAATTTACCCAGTGAATCTTGCCCATTGTTTTAAAAGTTTGTTATATTGGGGTCCATTATATCTAGGGTTTACTAAAATAAAAAAAAAGTTTGGATTATTCACAATGTAGCCCCCTTAATCTATTCTTTGCAAGTATAGTATAGGGTATATTATTATTTGAAATAGGCACTGTCATCTTTACCAAAACCAGCAACCCAATTGGAGAGCACACTTCTTAGGTAATGCCCTAAACAATAATGTTTCATTTATTTCTCACTGCTTGCATATCAATGTACTCATGATAGCCTGGTTGATCAAATATTTTATGAAAATGCACCAAAAAACAGTATTAATATCAAAGAAGTGTGTGTGTGTTCCCTACTGTTTATGCTCTGATCTTTCAAGTGTGGTGACTGTTCCCTTACTTCATAATATTAACCTTGCTTGGTCTGTAGTGTCTCGCAGTAGTGAGCATTTTTGTTAAAATTTGTAATACAGTAGACCGTCATTTAACACTGTAGTTACGTTCCTAAAAACGCTGTTTTAGTTAAAAACTGTGTTAGACAAATTGAAGAACTTATGGGAAAAATAGGGTTATGTTCCTAGGAGCCCCAAAAAATCCAAACAACTTTTTTTTTAGACTTCCAGATCTTACAAAAATAAAAAAAATATGTAATTGTAGTTCATTGTGATGTATTATGTTCTTTTCACTGCTTAAGATTACAAATGTAACAGAAATAATAGTATTCCTTACCTTAAATTGTGGGTGCTGGTGTTTGTGGATGATTATGGAGAGTTATGCTGTGGCCCTACTGGGCTGAGGTGGATGGTAGAGGTACTGGTACTGAAGTCAATGGTTGTACTCGAGTGTGCATAAATTCTGTAATGGATTTCCGTTTTATTTTACCCGCAGTACATCATACGTACAACTGAGATAAGGTATCAGCTGCTCTAGACACCATTTCAGGGTCCTCTTCAGTAAAAAAGTCTAACTTTCAGTCAGTCAGTAAATTGGTCAAGTCAGTCAATCAGTAAGTCAGTCAAGTTGGTCAGTAAATCAGTCAGTCATCACACAAACTCACATTTACCTCATTCTTTTTATGTGCACAAAGAGAAGCTTCATTACGGACACTGGCTATCTCGTCTAATATCTCTATTTTCTTCGTTAATTCTAAGACATTAAACGCTTAAGCCTTTTCTTGCCACTTTCATCAACACTTGTATGCCTAATGGGTGCCATGATTGCTTGGAAGATTTAAGATATGGCAAGAAAAAGATATAAACTCCTAGCAGAGGATGGTACATATCCCGCAGGCAACGCGTTCAAAATTTTTTCCCTTCCCGCGAATCGTGTAAATTTTACGAAGTGTCATACAAAAATATGCCACAATTCTTCAATCATGCTATAACCAAAATGTGCCAGAAAAAATCATGTTAAATGATGGTCTACTGTACATTAATTTTTTTTGTTTTTTTCAACAAGTCGGCCATCTCCCTCCTAAACCAAAGTGGATGATCATTCAGTTCTGTGGGTAGACTCAAAGTGAAAATATTCTTGTACAATGCTGCAAAGTTATTTTCCATAATTTACTGCCCAAGGAGTTGATTTACTACACGATGTCTATGCCTTTTCCACAAAGAGGCCATTAATTTGGCAAGTCATTCTAAGCTTATGAGGAATGTAAAACTTATTTCCTGTTCTGTCAGAATATTTTGGTCCTCCTTCCTTATATTGTAATTATTTTACTATTTACAGTGGAACCTTGGTACTTGAACAGCTCCCTACTCAAACAATTTGATATTTGAACATTTTGTTTGGTAAAAAAAAAAAAAAAAAAATCGCTCGGTAGTAGACTATTTGCTCGGCACTCAACCAAACAGCCTGCCAGAACTTCACTGTAAACTATTTTGTTTCTCTTCGCATTTTTTGGCATTTTTTTATATTATACGTATGAATAAGTCACCAAGGGGCCATTAGAAGATTAGCGATAAAAGCCAAGAACAAAAATTTGGTTGGGAAAAATTCGTTCAGTACTCAAACAGATTGGCACTTGAATAGCCTTCTGGAATGAATTAAGTTCGAGTACCGAGGCTTCGCTGTACATAGATTAATACTAAGCCTGTAAGGACCATACAGCACCCTGTGGAATGGGAGGCAATCAGGTTTGATTTAGAGAAGGAGAGTAGTTCGAATTTCTTAAATCAAGAATCATTTACTAGAATCAGGGCACTGCACCCCACACTCTCCCTTCATGGGTTATCTTCCATAAATTCTCAAGAGCTTCCCCATTCCTGCATGATTATTACTGCATACATTACTAAAGTTAAAAAGAGAAACTTTTGTTTTTCTTTTTGGGCCACCCTCCTTTGGTGGGATATGGTTGGTTTGTTGAAAGGTTTTTATTTCTTCCATAACCTTTTTGAGAGGCTTGATTCATCAGATTTCCTTTCAAAGGGGTAGACTTGATGCTGATAAAGGGCTCTTGTTTGAGTAAATGCAGCTACCCTCCCCTTCCTCAAACCAACCCTGATTACACCCACTCTTCCCATTCTACAGGCATATACTGTATTACCCTCATGGGTTTACTACTTCTCTGTTAATATAACAACTGGATGTGATCACTGCATGATTCAATAAGTATCTCCCATACCCTCAGCCACCTTTACCACTATGCATGCAAGAGGCATAGTTTTTTACTCAAAACCCTCAAGAAACAGCTGCAACTCAGCTGACCAATGTAGGTTTAGCAGTTTTGAATAATAATAATGCAACTTGGCTCCCTTATGAGACCTAGGAGTTATAGCTCAACCCTCTCAAGAGGTCCAGGAGCTGGAAATTAAGACCTTAGAGAGGCCCAGGTTTGGCTTAAACGTACTCCAGAAGCCTAGCAAAATCCTCAGATGTAGATCAGCACCCAAAGAAGCTGGAACTCAAGCAAACTATTACAGATGCGTGGAATAAAGGCTTACCCTGCATTGTTAAAGTTGAAAATAAATATGATGGTAAAACATACAGTACAAGGCGGAGGTACAAAAGACGAGTGGACCACCACATGAAGGATAGAGGTATTATTATATATATTAATATTATTGAAGTCAAAAAGTACACAAAATTAATTTTCCACATTTGCAATGGCCTATCGTTCTCACTCTAAACTTGCTTTCTCGCTGAAGGTTCTACTTTCAACACTGACTCACTTTTGAATTCGCTAACAGAAATTAACCTATTAACTTTGATATGAATTTTGGACTCTCACTAATCTATCCTGCACATCATGCCAGAGTTGTATGACCCATAGAGGTTTAGCACTTATTTTTTTTATTATTGAGGCATAAACTTAATATAACTAATCAGCTTGGTGGATACAATGAGTAAAGATTATATACTTTAGTAGTGCTGAACAGTGAGCTTAATTGGTGTGTATGTTTGCCCATCATTTCTGATAAAACTGGTGGCCAAGTGCTACAAACTGGTATTCAGAATAAAATAACAGATTTGGTACAAGTTAACCTGTCTCTTCAGGATTTTGCTTCATGCACTGGTATCAATGTTTTCTGGGTACAGTAACTTTAAATTTAGATCTCAAAGAAATGTATACAATAAAAATAATGTGTATTTTATTTCATAAGATTAACATACTGACAGGTATAATGGAAAAATAAAACATAATACTATGAAGAAGAGAGAATCATTTGGAATCAAACATAGCCCATGGGTCACATTTGAAAAAGATGTATAAAGTTAAAATTCTCTTTTTTGTAGGGTCCTGGTGTACACAAATATGTATATTCAAAGCAGAATAAGTTTGGTCTTTCTTTTGCTTTAGCATATAAAGTTAAATTGAAAGACTACAGAGAAATAAAATGTAGACCAAACTATGAGATTACTTATGATTTCATTTAAAGCACCAAGAGTTATAGCTGAAATACAAGAAAAACATTTATATTTGTTTGTGTATAATTACCTATTTGAGTTAAATTTGTCAAACTCAAGCTATGACTGATATGAAATAGCTGTGCCATTTCACTATCACGTTTTGCTTATTTTCAATTCATTACCATTGTTGCAAAGAAAAGTACTTTCTGATATCCATGTGGCTCATCTCAGTGTGCAATGTCCAACTATGCCCCCTTGTTTTGGTTAAATTCTTGGGCAAGTTTTTCCTTGTCCACCCTATCTATCCTTACAAGTAGTTTGTGATTAATGGAATAATTTTTCACTAAAAAAAAAAAAAAAAGAGGGGGCAACAGAATAAAAAACATGATATATGTAATTCTGTCATAATACAAAGTTGTATATTATCTGAAAAGCACAGGCTGTATCTTACACACATTTGTAAAAGTTTTACAGATGCAATGGGAATGATATTTCTTGCTGAATGTACAATGTAAAAGTTTAACAAATACAATACATAAAGAAACATGCTGGTTATATACTTTTATGCCCATATGTTCTCACAATCAGCAACAACAAAATTATCAGAGCTGTGATAGGACTGACAATACTGGGATTAGCAATACTTGTCATGCACTCAATTAACTTCTTACTTTAAATCTGGTAAATTTTTAACCCTTTGAGGGTTTCGGACGTACTAGTACGGCTTACGCGCAGGGGTTTTTGACGTACTAGTACGCATAAATTCTAGCGCCGTCAAATCTCGCAGGAAAAGGCTGGTAGGCCTAGATGTCAGAGATGGGTCTGTGTGTGCGGTAGAAAAAAAATCTGGGACCCAGTGGTGCATTGTGGGAATGCCATCTTAGTACACAATGTCCACCATGCCTCGCGGTAAGAAGTTCCTCACCCCTCGGCAAATTGGGACACTTTTGTTCCCCAGTGACAGTTCTAATACAGATGGAAGTGCCAGTGAAGGTGAGTTTCAAGGTTTTGGTAAGGTTTTGACCGAAACTAATGACCATAATATCGGTAATAGTGAGGAAAACCCAGACGACCCTCAGCCTTCCACCTCTGGTGCTGGGCCGTCTTGTTCACGTTCAGTTGTACCAGAATCAAAGAGGAAACTCGTATTTTCCCAAATCCCAGACTCAGATGTGAGCATTTGTGATGATAGTGATAGTGATTATGAACTACAAGCTCTTGAAAACAGTTCCAGTAGCGATAGTGAAGTGGAATATTCCCCAGTGAAGCGTCAGTATATACGACGATATATGCGCTCTGGTAGTGTGCCATATGCTATTCCAAGGGGAAGGAGTACATCTCGGAGTACATCCCGTGGCTGTACAACAGGAACAGACTGAAAATGACGATGATAGTGTTGCAATTGGGATGGAAAATGTGCATGGTGGTGGTGGTGACGGCCGTGAGGCACCAGCAGTGGGCCATGCTGCCACCCACGCCGCTGCCTCAGCTGATCTACAACAAAGGCCACCATCCCCCACCCACCCACCACACCAGCCTCCACAACGACAAGTCATTGTCCAGTACCCACCAGCAGACTGCACCTGGGATTGGCAGGAAGCTGTCAGTTTTATTCCAAATGCCCACCAGTTTGACGACAGCCAAAGTGGAATACGGCCATCTTGTACAGTTGGGAACAATGCCACTGAACTGGAATGTTTCGAGTTATTCTCTGACGAACCCCTGATCGAAAGTATTGTCATGGAAAGCAACACATACTACGAGTACACCATGGCAAACACAATACTTTCACCAAAATCACGTCTACACCAGTGGAAGGAGGCAACTGTGGCTGAGATGTATCTTTTCTTTGCCACAATAATGCTTATGCCACATGTGTATAAGCACAAAGTGAAATCATAATGGTCAACAGACCGCCTGATTGCAACCCCAGGTTTCAGTGATATAATGCCAGTGAATTGATTTGTGCTAATGTTACGTATGCTTCACTTCTCAGACAAAACCAGGCCTGACAGAAGCGACAGGTTATATAAGATTAGGCATATGTGTGTTTTTGTTTTTTTTAATTAACACACTGGCTGATTCCCACCAAGGCCCGAAAAAGAAAAACTTTCACCATCATTCACTCCATCACTGTCTTGCCAGAAGGGGGCATGTGTTTGTGTATCTGAAAGAGAAATTCAATATGTATTTTTATCCCTTCAGGAAGCTTGTAATTGACGAGTCTTTGATTCTGTTCAAAGGAAGAGACTTTTTCAAGCAGTACATACCAAGCAAGAGGAAACGCTTTGGTATAAAGGCGTTTGTGCTTTATGATTGTTACAGTGGTCTGGTATTGGATATTATTGTGTACACTGGAAGTTATACATTGCAAAATACCAGGAAGTTATTGGGCATCTCTGGTGATGTGGTTAGAACAATGATAGAACCATACCTTGGTAAGGGGCATATATTATATACTGATAACTAGTACACAAGCCCCTCACTCAGTGATTTTTTGCGAGTGAACATGACAGATGTGTGTGGCACAGTGCGTGTAAATCGGAAACATATGCCCAGGTTTGACGCTGGCACTCGTAGAGGCGAGGTGCAGGCGTTTGCTGCCAATGACATCATGGCATTTCGGTGGCATGACAAACGAGATGTCACACTGTGGTCATCAGTTCACCCTAATGAAATGGCAGACACTGGCAGGCAGCATAGAGAAAGCAATGAACCCATTCTAAAACCTGCAGCTGTGATTGATTACACCTTCAATATGCATTCAGTGGACAAATATGACATGCAGATTGGGTTTGCTGATTGTGTTCTCAAGAGTTATAACTGGTACATAAAACTCTTTTTCCATCTTCTGGACATTTCCATGCTCAATGCTTATAATATGTATAAGATGAGGACCAGAAACAAACCACAATACGGCAAATTCTGTTTGTCTGTCATCAGACAAATAGTATTTAAGTACCAAGGAAGAACACCTGCAATAGACCGCCCACCAAATTATCAACAACTCCCTTCTCATTTGAAGCATGGCGATCACTTCCTGGTAAAACTGTCTGTTACTGCTTTCAAGAAAAAGGCTCAGAAGAGGTGTTACGTCTGTGCCCATACAAGGAAACACCCACAACAACGCAGAGACACTCATTTTATGTGTGAGGAGTGTAAAACCATGTTTCAAAGACTTCCACAGGCTGCAGAACTTCTAGAAACATTCCCTGTGACTGTATATGTGTACATAAAATATAGAAAAATAGTAATAAACAACATTTCATATCGTTTGTTTGTGTAAATATTTTTTATAAACAAAACAATGACAACAGTGTTTACGCCCTTATTGTGTAGTATTGAAAAAGAAAAAACTTACAAAATACTGATCATACTGGTCTCAGGCCATAAAAGTTACTTGGAAAAAGAAAAATTAAAAAATAATAGAAATTAGTACATAAGAAAGTAAATACAGTGGACCCCCGGTTAACGATATTTTTTCACTCCAGAAGTATGTTCAGGTGCCAGTACTGACCGAATTTGTTCCCATAAGGAATATTGTGAAGTAGATTAGTCCATTTCAGACCCCCAAACATACACGTACAAACGCACTTACATAAATACACTTACATAATTGGTCGCATTCGGAGGTGATCGTTATGCGGGGGTCCACTGTACATGTAAAAGAATACCGGGAGACGGCAGTCGACGATGTTGTCACATTGTCCTCCTTTTTCATCAACTTCACGCCTCCATATCTCGGTAAGTATCGATGGTAAAAATTTTTTGTTTAGCCTATAATATTTAAAAAAAAAAAAACTTTTTTCATAAGAAAAAATCATTTTTTTTTTTTTAAATTTGGCCGACCCTGAGAACGAGTCTCTGAGAGGACCTGTCGACCCTCAAAGGGTTAATAAACTAGTGCATCCTTTTAACTTTCTGTTGATATACAAGACATTGAAAATTGGAAACAGTATCAAAATATCATTTTATTACACATTTCTACATGGTACATATATTAACCTATAGTGATACTAATCTAGTTGAGAAATATAAATTTGACACAAGTTATTAACATTTCATCATGTAATTGTCACTTAAAATATATGTAGGCAGTTTGGATATCACTGACAAGTGATATAATATACATAGTAACACATGGAGTTAATGATGCTAACAATGTTTATGCAGGTATAAACTGTCTTTCTAAATATTCTGAAAGGCACTAGGCTAATGATTTTAAAAGTAAAGATAAACTGTGAGGGACTGATCTGACTGTTGTAACAAAGGAAATATATTTTCAGAGATATTTGAATAATTAATGATTTTGCAAATTTAAATACATTTTCAATCTACTGTGCACAAATCCTAGACATTTATAAAGTGATATTTATCAATAAATTATCCTAATGCCAACATTTATAAATTATAAGAAAATTTATTAATTTTATGATTCTAAAAAAATTGAAAAATTATGTAGTAACACTGAGGCATACATGACTAGGAAAGTTATAGGAAAATGCCAACAAATAATTTCCATTAGTCTTTAGTATATAATGTATGATTTTAGAAATAACTTATACTGCTGACAAAGTTATTTCATTCACATATTATTGTGCTTATTAAAGACAGGGAATGAAAGATGATGAACATTTCATTGTTTAAATCACTACCTTTGTGGGATATAAGTAATATGTTGAAAATCAGAGAATGTTAAAATATATCTTAACTAGCCAATGTTTGCTTAAATCATCAATAAATATTTCTATTACATAATAGTAGTGTACATGTACTTTGCCCCAAACTACCAATGAAGTCTACTGATGTACCAGAAATAGAGTTCTACTTATCCTCTATTTCAGGAAGCACTCTAGCTTAGTAGTGAATAGCATAATAAATCTTTAAGTCCCCTAATTTCTTTAATAACATATGCAAGTTTTTCTGATGTTTAACAATATGTAATTTCCACAATGAACCCTAAAATGTGCAAAAATAAAAGTTAAATAACAAATTAAGTTTTAATATCTTGTGGGGGCGGCTTACTTAACCACACTTCTGTTCTTATATTTATGGATATGCTAAAAAAAATTTATGACATCAATAATTAAAGTTTTACATACATATACACATATGTATACAAATTATATACTCAAGTATAATCCAACTATGAGTATAGACTGACCCGTGATTTTCTTTGTCAAAAAATCCTTTTTCTTTTCACAGATCTCAGGTATTAGTCTATCCTAGCTTCTGAGAGACTTCAAAAGGAATCACTGGTTCTGATGCAAAAATATGTTCTAGGCAAAACTTGGAAAACAGTAATGAAACACAAAAGTCAAATCAGCTGAAAGACTTGATAAACATAAGAATAAAGGAGCATTACAATACAACTACTACTTGCTCATGCTCGGCAGATCTACTAATAACCAACCATTTCATGACAAATGAGCACTTCAGCAGGCCTACTAACCCATGACAGGCAGGTTTTATTCAAACACAAACATTATGTAAGAACAGAAATTCACTGCAGTAAGCCCAGTGGCTGATTCATGCTAGGAAGGCCCTACTCACAACCAACACATTTCTTTGGCAGAGACTGGTAGAGAACTGTAGATTTATTTTTTACATTGTCCCGCTTGTTGGCAGTTAATAATGTTTAGTACACATCAGTGGTTGGCAGGTGGGGAGGACAGAAGGAATGACTGACCAAGAAAAAAAAAAAAAAAAGATTAGAGGACAGGCAGGTGACACCCTCTTTTCCCTCTCCTTAACCTGACTGGTTACTATACTCACCCTCTCTCCCATGCGATCAAGTTCACTGCTCTTTCCCACACCATGAGCTAAACAATGTTATTTATTGGCATTATCATATACAAACATGATTTGAATTTCATGTTAGTAAACCGAAGAAAGAAAATACTTTTAGTCTTAAGGCTAAGAACAGTGGCTAATCTTATAACTCAGCAGTGATCCTCTGTTATACTGCATACAAAATGAGACAAGAGCATTTTCCACTGCATTTATATAATACATTTGTTCCGTTTTAGTTCTTAAATTCAACGGCTATCTCCTGTCAAGGCAGGGTGACCCAAAGAAGACAGCATATTCATCAACAATTACTGAACTGTCATAATCTGATTGTGTTGACATCACAAACAGATTACTCTCTGATTGCAACATCTGCACCACTCCTTCATTGCCCTTCCCACCTCCAGGACTCAAGTCAGGCTAACAGGTTTCCCTGAATCCCTTCATTTGTTACCCTGCTTACACTTCAATAGCACATCCATTAAAAGCCACTTGTCTCTATCCATTCACTCTTATTTAATGTGCTCACACAAGATTGTTGAATGCTTAACCCCCTAAAACTCAAAGCCTCTTGTACCCCCTCCCTCCAACCATTCCTGGGACAACCCCCAACCCTATACTTTCCACTCCAGATTTATACACCCCTCTTCGTTAACCCATCCCTGTCCATCCTTTCTACATGCCTAAACTACCTCAACAACCTCTTCTCAGCTCTCTGAATTATACCCTTAGTCACTCCACACTGCCTTTCAATTTTTACACTCAAAATTCTCTGCATGAGATCTGCACAACACATTACTCTCAAACATGACATCTCCACTGCCTCTAGCATCTTCTTCACTGCAGCATTCAAAATTTTGCCGTATTTTACAAATAAGTAGACCGTTGATCTATTAAAAATTTTTGTGGTAACATGCCCTGAAAAACTGCAGCTTATTTCTGATGAGAATGCTGTATTTAATATTTGCCATGGAATAAATTTAGGGAAAAAATATAGCACACTACAGGTTTTTCCCCTTCCATCTTGCCATAGAGGAGGCCTAGGTAACAACTTCCCATACTGTCAGTTCTCCATATTCAATGTGTTAGTGAATAGATTTTCGATCTTTTCACCATCTATCTTGTCACTGGATAGTAACTATGGCACCCAAGTGCAAAGTGAACAATGCTGGAAGCATAAAGAAGCATAAACTTGAAAGTCTTGTTGATGTTTTTAAAATACTGAGATCTTAGACAAGCATAATTCATTACTTTGTGCAATTAAGAAAAAAAAAAAAAGATTTTGGCAAAAGATTTAGGCTTGTGCAATGAGTAACCCAAGTTGTGTCATCTTGAAAGAATGACACAGGTCACAACAGTAAAATAAGAGGGAATAATTATTGAGCGAGTAGACTGAGCAGAAAACCAAAGTTCTGCACTTAATTCCTCATTATAAGATACAAGAAACTTCAGAATACTATAAAACAGTGTGTAATAAGGAAGAAAGGCCTCAACACAAATGCTTGTTCAGTACTGACTAGTTCCACTAGTTCAAATTGTGCTATCGCTTGCATAATGTTAAATTTTCTGGCAAAAGTGCTTCTGCTGACCGCACAGCTCCCTGGAATTTCCCTGCTGAACTGGAGGAAATTATTTTTGAGGGTGACGATGAGCCATAGGAAGCACTTAATGCTGATGAGACAAGTCATTATTGTAAGAAAATGCCATCGAGAACTTGCATCAACAGCAAGAGAAAAATGCACCGAGATGTAAAGCAGTAAAGGAGTGCTTCAGCTTGCTATTGTGCAGTAATGCATCAGGCAATTTTAAGTATTTCCTGCTCCAAGACTCCCCATGCTTTGAAAGGTATAGACAAAATCACCTCACCAGTCATTGGAGGTCAAAGAAGTCAACATACATGACAGAAACCTTATATATTGACTGATTTAGGCATCATTTTAGTTCTAAAGTTATGTGTTACCTGTGCAGCAAGAACTTTGCATTCAAGATTCTCTTTATTCTTGATAATTACCATACTCTCCTCCATAGGGAAGTGGAAAAGAAGTCATCCTCCGTAAATCATGCGTGTTGTATGAGGCAACTAAAATGCTGGGAGCAAGGACTAGTAACCCCTTCTCCTGTATAAATTACTAAATTTAAAAAGAGAAGCTTTCATTTTTCTTTTTCAATCACCCTGCCCCAGTGTGATACAGCCAGTTCATTAAAAAAAAAAAAAAAATTACCATACTCAAACAAGAATTTTTGGAGGATGCGTACCCTTTAATACAATCACTGGAATGAGGAGTTAAGACATTAAAGTGCAACTACACACAAAAGGTTATGCAGAAACTTATCGGAGCAATGGACTCGGAGCTTGGAGTGCCAGACTTCTGGCATAAATTTGACATTGCAACTATATCAAAAGCACATGGACTGAAGTGTCCCCAGTCAACATTAACCCTTTCAGGGTCCAAGGCCCAAATCTGGAGTCACGCACCAGTGTCCAAGAATTTAAAAAAAAAAAAAAATTGTTATTTTTTCTCATGAAATCGTAGAGAATCTTTTTGTGAAGGTAATAAAACAAAAAGTACGAAATTTGGTGGAAAATTGACGAAATTATGCTCTCGCGAATTTTGATGTGTCAGCGATATTTACGAATCGGCGATTTTGCCGACTTTGACTCCTATTTTAGGCCTATTACATTATTCCAATCAACCAAATTCTTAGCTATTTCACTAGTATTACTTCTATTCTATCGATTGAGCACAAGAAATCGCCAAGTCAACTGTTTCAACTACAAAATAAAGTGATCGGAAATTGTTAATTTGGCCAATTTAACACAAAGTTCAAAATATTCCAATTTCAAAATAGGGTCCAGAATGAACAATGTAGGCATTCCTGGCACTAAACTAACATTTCCTCTGTTCATTAGTTATGTTTTGAGGCTTTACAAATAAATTCCATTTTGATTTTTTATTCACATAATGAATTTTTATTCACACCAAAAAATAGAAGATTTACTGTTATGCAATACTGTAATAATTGTATAAATATCATCACCATATTTGTGAATGTATATTAGACCCACCAGGTGGCGTGTATTAGACGTGTGAGGTCGTTTGTTTACTCTTGAATATCGGCAAAAATTTAACATTTCTGCTACTTTGAGCTCAGTTTCAAGCCATTTCCAGTGCTAAAACCAATCAAAATCATCTCTATTTCTGTAATATGTCTTCCATTCTATCAAATGAGACCAAGAAATCGCAAATACAACTATAAAAAACATACGAAAAAACACTGCAAAGTTGCCGTTTTAATCGAAAAATCATGATTTCATTTTTTTTCTCTCATTATACACAGTGTGCTGCAGGATCTGTTTTATGTGGTGCACACATACCACATAGTTGTATTCTCTCATATCTAGGCCCAAATGTACCACTCACAGTTTATCAGAGTGAGCTGAGCTCATGGCGTAGATCTACGGTTTGGACCCTGAACGTAAAGCCGTAGATCTACGGGACGGACCCTGAAAGGGTTAAATGCAAGCTGAGGAAAATTATGGCCTAGTTTGGTGAATAATTTAACAGGTTTTTGCTCAGCTGAGAGTCAGGTATTGGAAATTGTTCAGCTGGTAAGGAAGGTGGCAGGTAAGGGCTTTGAAGATAAGGAGCCAGATATGAACAACCTCTTACAAGATGAGGAGGAAGAAAGAAGTCCAGAGAAAATGTTGCTATGGTACAAGGGAGACAGACAAAGTTGAACCTGCTAGGAAACAGTTAACACTTCAACAGTTATGTAAGCAGTTCCATTTTATTGGTAAAATTAGACTTTTTCACTGAAGAGGAGCCTGACATATCTAGGAGCACTACTATGAAGCAGATTCTGGACCAAGCAATGATGCCATACTAACAGCTGCATAAAGTACTACAGGGTAGAACAAATCAGAAGCATTACAGAATACCTCAGTACAACTATCACCTAATGACAACTCTGCATCAACACCAGAACAAGAGCCTTGGCCAACAATTCCCAACTTAACACCTCAGCCCAGTAGGGTTGCACCATTCCTTTCAAAATCATAAACATGCACCAGCAACCAGAATTAATAAAGAAATAATATTTATATAACCTTTGTAGCTATCAGTATTGTATTAAACTTATCACTACATCCACCTACAATTACATTATTATAATTTTTTACAAGACCTAAAACAAATTGTCTGGTATTTTTGGGGTTCTGAGGAATGTAACCCTATTTCTTTCCTATGTTCTTCAGTTCATTTTATACAATCATTTTTTATTTAGCAAGTTTACAGGTACATCTTGCTACTTCTACTTACACTACTTAGGTCACACTACACATACGTGTACAAGCATATATATACACACCCCTCTGGGTTTTCTTCTATTTTCTTTCTAATTCTTGCTCTTGTTTATTTCCTCTTATCGTCATGGGGAAGTGGAACAGAATTCTTCCTCTGTAAGCCATGCGTGTCGTAAGAGGCGACTAAAATGCCGGGAGCAAGGCGCTAGTAACCCCTTCTCCTGTACATATTACTAAATTTAAAAGGAGAAACTTTAGTTTTTTCTTTTGGGCCACCCCCACCTCAGTGGGATACGGCTGGAACATTGAAAGAAGAAAGAAGATTTTTTATTTACAAGCCGTTTATCAGGAGTATAACACTATGTTAATTGATGGTCTACTGTTTTTAGGGTAATTAACTTCCACTTAATCAGTTGAACCTAATATACAGTAACTCCACTTAAAGATGGAGTGTTAGAATTAATTAACAGTGCCTGACTAATTCTACCTGGAGCCTAACCAGGTCTCCCTAGAGCCTGGGGATCCCTGATACCTCAGCACAGCTCCCTAATGGCCAAGCAGGATTACCCTGATGTCTGAGCAGGGCTCCCTGTTGCCTGAACAGTGCAAAAGAAACTATTGGATATTATTAAATTTAGTTGTAGATTTAAGGGGTAATATGGTTACAGAGTGTGGCTGTACCCTGGATGGGAGGGAGGTAAAGGAGGTTTTGTGTATAAAGGACTTGGACATACAGCAGGCATGTGTGAGTACATTAGACACAAGTGGAAACAAATTTTTGGGTGGCCTTGACGAACTGTTGGAGTGTAAGCAAGGTAATATTTTATGAGAGGATTTAGGAAAACTGGTTAGCCAGACTCAAGTCCTGGAGGTGGGAAGTACAGTGCCTGCACTCTAAAGGAGGGATTTGGGATATTTGCTGATTTGGAGAGACATCTGATCTGTCATATCTGAGCACCTCTGGCAAGATAGTGATAGTGTGAATGATGGTGAAAGTGTTTCTTTTTTGGGTCACCTGCCTGGATGTGAGACAGCCAGCATGTTATGAATATCAATCAGCAGGTATTTTAAAAATTTAATTACCTCTTTGATGTTCTTGCTTGGATGTACAGGTATATACAGTGGGTGACTCTGCAAATGTTTCCTTTACTGAATATGAAAAATGGTAAAGTAAATTGATTTAGGATATAATTTTCATTTTTTTTCCTTTATACTATATACATTATTTATTAGCATGTACTGAATCAATTCATCTAACTGCAGGAAAAATTTTAGTAAGGCAATTCTTACATTAAACAACTTAAAGTCATCAATACTGTCATCTGAGAAACCCCTTTTACAGGACACTTTTATTGGCTTGGCTCTGGATAGAGAACAAGTTACGAAAATTTATATTCTACCACTCAACTGGTTGTGAATTTCTAACTGCTGTGGAATAATGTGAGCCACACAGGTATCCCACCTCGTCTACTTCTTTTAGAATCTGTAATGAAATTAAGATTTTTAATATTTAATGAATGACTGTGAGCAGATATATGGTAAAAAGATGACACAAAGCAAAAGAAAACCTTTTATTGTTACATTTTTCACTTAAAAGAGGCTTCATCAACTACTTTAAAAATATAATACATCAATATACTGAAAATAGTGCTGAAAGGCAGTCATGTCAGGTGCTAGATGAAGGTGAGGTGTCTGCTGTCAGAGAAGAGGTGATATTTTGTGAGGACTGGGCTAAGGAAACAGGTCCTAGTAATCCATACTTCCTGTTTTAACAAAAAATTTTATAACAGATTTTGCTAAAATGTACAGTTTTTTTCACAAAGAACAAAGAAATGTACATTTAGGCAAAACCTATTACAAAAACAATGTTAGAACAACACAGGAAGTCCCACACCACCTACAGCTGTAGGTGGTCTATATATATATTAACGTCTTGTATTTTTCATTGATAAAGCCCCTTGTAGATAAAAATGTCATGATAATAAAAGGTGCCCTTTTGCTATACGACATTTTAATAATTTTAATAAAGTAAATAAACTTTTCGTTTAAGTAATTTTACATGTATATACAGCAAATACAATAAGAGTAATAAGAATCTTTCCTCCATAAGCCATGCATGTCATATGAGGCGACTAAAATGCCGGGAGCAATGGGCTAGTAACTCCTCCTGTATACATTTACTAAAAATGAGAAGAAAAACTTTATAAAACTGGGATGCTTGAATGTGCATGAATGTGGTGCAGATGATGAGAAAGAGATGACTGCTGATGTTATGAATGAAAAGAAGTAGGATGTCCTGGCCCTCAGCGAAACAAAGCTGAAGTGGGTAGGCGAGTTTCTGTGGGGAGAAATAAATGGGATTAAGTCGGGAGTATCTGAGAGGGTTAGAGTTAAGGAAGGGGTAGCAATTATGTTGAAGGATCAGTTATGGAAGAAGAGGGAAGATAAATGTGTAAATTTAAGGATTATGTGGATTAAAATAAGGTTGGATGCAAAAAGTGGGTCATAATAAGTGTGTATGCACCTGGAGAAGAGAGGAATGTAGAGGAAAGAGAGAGATTTTGGGAGATGTTAAGCAAATGTATAGGAACCTTTGAACCAAGTGAGAGAGTAACTGTGGTAGGGGACCTGAATGCTAAAGTAGGAGAAACATTTAGAGAGGGTATGCTAGGTAAGTTTGGGGTGCTAGGTGTAAATGATAATGGGAGCCCTTTGATTGAACTTTGTAGAGAAAGGGGTTTAATTATAGATAATATATATTTTAAGAAAAAGAGGATAAATAAGTATACAAGATATGATGTAGGACATAATGACAGTAGTTTGTTGGACTACGTATTGATAGATAAAAGACTGTTGAGTAGACTTCAGGATGTACATGTTTATAGAGGGGCCACAGATATATCAGATCTCTTTTTAGTTGTAGCTACAGTGAGAGTAAAAGGTAGATGGGATACAAGGAAAACAGAAGCAGCAAGTAAGATAGAGGTGAAGGTGTATAAACTAAAAGAGGAGGCAGTTAGGGTAAGATATAAACAACTACTGGAGGATAGATGGACTAGTAAGAGTATAGGCAATGGGGTCGAAGGTGTATGGAGTAGGTTTAAGAATGTAGTGTTAGTGTGTTCAGCAGAAGTTTGTGGCTACAGGAAAGTGGGTGCAGGACGGAAGAAGAGCAATTGGTGGAATGATGATGTAAAGAGAATGATGTAAGGGAGAAAAAGTTAAGCATATGAGAGGTTTTTACAAAGTAGAAATGATGCAAGGAGGGAAGAGTACATGGAGAAAAAAAGAGAGGTTAAGAGAGTGGTGAAGTAATATAAAAAGAGAGCAAATGAGAAAGTGGGTGAGATGTTATCAACAAATTTTGTTGAAAATAAGAAAAAGTTTTGGAGTGAGATTAATAAGTTGAGGAGCCCTAGGGAACAAATGGATTTGACAGTTAAAAATAGGGGAGGAGGGTTATTAAATGGAGAGAGAGAGGTATCGGGAAGATGGAGGGAACATTTTGAGGAACTGTTAAATGTTGATGAAGATAGGGAAGCTGTGATTTCGTGTATAGGGAAAGGAGGAATAACATCTTGTAGGAGTGAGGAAGAGCCAGTTGTGAGTGTGGGGGAAGTTCGTGAGGCAGTGGGTAGAATGAAAGGGGGTAAGGCAGCTGGGATTGCTGGGATACAGATAGAAATGTTAAAAGCAGGTGGGGATATAATTTTGGAGTGGTTGGCGTTATTTAATAAATGTATGGAAGAGGGTAGGGTACCTAGGGATTAGAAGAGAGCATGCATAGTTCCTTTGTATTAAGACAAAGGGGATAAAAGTGAGTGCAAAAATTATAGAGGAATAAGTCTGTTGAGAATACCTGGTAAAGTGTATGGTAGAGTTATTATTGAAAAAATTAAGAGTAAGAAGGAGAGTAGGATAGCAGATGAACAAGGACGCCTAAGGAAAGGTAGGGGGTGTGTAGACCAAGTGTTTATAGTGAAACACATAGGTGAACAGTATTTAGATAAGGCTAAAGAGGTTATTGTAGCATTTATGGATTTGGAAAAGGCATATGACAGGGTGGAAAGGGGGGCAATGTGGCAGATGTTACAGGGGTATGGTATAGGAGGTAGGTTACTGAAAGCAGTGAAGAGTTTTTTCGAGGATAGTGAGGCTCAGGTTAGAGTATGTAGGAGAGAGGGAAATTATTTCCCAGTAAAAGTAGACCTTAGACAAGGATGTGTGATGTTGCCATGGTTGTTCAATATATTTATAGATAGGGTTGTAAGAGAAGTGAATGCTCCGGTGTTGGCAAGAGGTGCATAGTTAAAATATAAAGAATCAAACACAAAGTGGGAGTTGTCACAGTTGCTCTTTGCTGATGACACTGTGCTTTTGGGAGATTCTAAAGAGAGGTTGCAGAAGTCGGTGGATGAATTTGGTAGGCTTTGTAAAAGAAGAAAATTAAAAGTGAATATAGGAAAGAGTAAGGTGATGAGGATAACAAAAAGATTAGGTGACGAAAGATTGGATATCTGATTGGAGGGAGAGAGTATGGAGATGGTGAATGTATTCAGATATTTAGGAGTGGATGTGTCAGCAGATGGATCTATGAAGGATGAGGTGAATCACAGAATTGATGAGGGGAAAAGGGCAAGTGGTGCACTTAGGAGCCTGTGGAGACAGAGAACTTTGTCTGTGGAAGCAAAGAGGGGAATGTATGAAAGTATAGCTATACCAACACTCTTTTATGGGTGTGAAGCATGGGTGATGAATGTTGCAACGAGGAGAAGACTGGAGGCATTGGAGATGTCATGTCTGAGGGCAATGTGTGGTGTGAATATAATGCAGGAAATTCATAGCTTGAAAATTAGGAGGAGGTGCGGGATTACCAAAACTATTATCCAGACGGCTGAGGAGGAGTTGCTGAGGTGGTATGGACAGGTAGAGGGAATGGAACAAAACAAAATGCCTTTGAGTGAATAAATCTATAATGGAGGGAAGGCAGGGTAGGGGATGGCCCAGGAAAGGTTGGAGGGAGGGGGCAAAGTAGGTTTCGTGTGCGAGGGGCTTGGACATCCAGCAAGCATGTGTGAGCATATTTAATAGTAGTGAATGGAGACAAATGGGTTTTAATACTTGACGTGCTGTTGGAGTGTGAGCACAGTAACACTTATGAAGGGATTCAGGGAAACCAGCAGGCCAGACTTGAGTCCTGGAGATGGGAAGTACAATGTCTGCACTCTAAAGGAGGGGTGTTTAATGTTGCAGTTTTATATCTGTAGTGTAAAGTATCCCTCTGGCAAGACAGTGATGGAGTGAATGATGAAAGTTTTTTCTTTTTAGGGCCACCCTGCCTTGGTGGGAATCGGCCAATGTGCTAATAAATAATAATAATATAAATGTTGACCTGTTCAATACATAAGGATAATTTATGCTTATGCTTGGTGGGAGATGGCTAGTATAAAAAAAAAAAGGGGGGGGGGGGGGGGGTAATTACCAACAACTGGACACCAAAGTATATCTGTTCCTCAAGCTACCAGTAGGTAATTACACAAAGTGATCATGTTTACTAGTTCACTGTTAGTCAAATAAATCAGTGAAATGTGAACTACAATACAATAATACATATTAGTTTTCTAAACTAGTCAGGTTAAATATATACATGTTAGCTAATTACACGAGTGACAATCTTGAATAAACTATATGATGCTACCTTGTCCAACATGTCTTTAGTGTGGGCAGCAGACAAGCAGAATCTCATTCGACCACCAGTGATCTTGGTAGCAGGGAAGCCAACACCCACTCCGGCAACCCCACGCTTCGTTAGCTCACGTACAAACATACTGAAAAGTATAATATTTTATACTGTACTTAATGACTGTCTCTGCTTTTTAGAAGTTTATACAGTACCATGTTTTCTTTTACAACATGAAGAGAAGTTTCAGTAAATCTACAAATCTGTGCATTATATTGCATTATCCTTTTTTTTTCACAAGTTGGCCATCTCCCACCGAGGCAGGATGACCCAAAAAGAAAGAAAAAATCCCCAAAAAGAAAATACTTTCGTCATCATTCAACACTTTCACCTCACTCATACATAATCACTGTTTTTGCAAAAGCACCTAGATACAACATTTTAGAAGCATATATAAAGATATATAACATATCCCTCCAAACTGCCAATATCTCAAACCCTTCCTTCAAAGTGCAGGCATTGTACTTTCCCATTTCCAGTACTCAAGTTTGGCTATGTAAAAATAACCGGTTTCCCTGAATCTCATTATCTCTCCTATTCAAAATAATGTATGCATGGGGACATCCATATTTTATATTTGAATACTATGTATCCACATTAAAAATCTTTAAATTTTGAAATTACCTGTCTCTCCACAATTCAAATAAAAGTTCTGAAGTTTACTCACTTGAAAAGCCTGAACTTCAGAGATCATTGAAAATTCTGAACATAATTTCTTATTTGGAATGAGTGCTGTATTTTGACCAAAATCTAAATTTAAGCTCAAAATTTGCAGACCTGTTTGGAAAATTCAAACTTCAGAAGAAGGAACTTGACAATGTTTCAGTCTATCCTAGACTACTGTCAAGTCTAGGATAGACTTGACAATGGTCCAGGACTGAAATACCGTAAGTCTTATCTTCTTAGTGTAGGTTATTTGTGTATTGTTCCATCCACAGTATTAAGACTTATTCTTCTTTTTCAATAACAAATCTGAGAAAATTCAGAATTGGGAGTGACTTTATAAAGGTTTCAAAGTGATTATCAAATTATGTCTAGATTAACAAATAAGAAAACTCAATAGCTCCTTGCAGCTACAGTATTTCTTCAAGTTGTTTTGTAACTGGTTATTTTGTAATTGTACAATAACAAAGATACATGTGACAGTGAATACACAAGTACAGGTAACCTCCAATATACAATGTCCACCTGCATTTGTGGCTATATTTTTTCTAAAAGAAATAGCCCCAACCTGAAAAAAAAAAATAGTGAACGAAATGGGTTCCCAGGAATGTAACCCCTGCACAGCAATTTTTGTGGAACTAATTAGATAACAAATACACCTGTTGCCTGTACAATAAGATTAGCGACAAGATGCAATCCAATGAGAGATTTTATGATTCGCCCAGAATCGTTATTCAACTGGAAGGAAAACTATGTCTACAAGTCTTACTGCGTTAAGAATCAAACTTGTCTTTGTTATGTTAAGTTGTGGTAACACAGGTAGATTAAACTTGTAGCAAATATGGTGAAGAGCTATTAAACTGCAGTCTGTAACAGAATGGAATGTCTTAAAGGTAATAGTTAATAAAACATTAAAGGTACTATTAACTCTTACTTTAATGTGAAAAGACTTGCAAAGAGTATAATCATATGTATTTTATATAGGAACCATAACTGAAGAGAATTTTAAAATGCCATTCTATTAAAAAATAAGTAGCACTTTTAAGTGTCTGAGTTTTTAACCAAAGAGCATCATCCTCCAAAAACTATACAGCATACTGCAAGATGCCATGCTTGAAATCTGGAGAGATGTTAAAGGAATTTCCTAAAAGCGATTCCTTATTACACTGCTCATTAAAAATGAACAGTGCATTACAGAATGCCAAAGCATGTGCACTGCAAATGTGAAGCTCATGATAAAGTCTTGCCAAGAATACATCAATAATTGTTAGCATAGAATTACTAAATAAACTGGATACAGGAATACTCTATCTCACAGATCATGCTAGAGTACAATGTAAAAAAAAAAAAAGTGTATGAATGTTACATTAAAAATTTTATTAAGGGCAAGTACACATGTGGACCTGTCAATAAAACTGATTTTGAAATTAGCGAAACCTTGATTTAATGGGCCATTAGAAGGGGTGTCTGTTAATGTTGACTGTCTATTAAATCTGAATGAGATTGTTTTTCCCCTGATAACAGTAATAATGGACAATTCTGGACTTAAAGAAAATTTGACCATGAAAACCCCAATTCAATTTACCTAACAGACTGAATAATAAACAATTGTAGATTTAACGAACTTTGTCTAGCCACAGATTGTCTGTTAAATCCAAAATCCTTTAAACCCAGGGTTCATCAAACAAATATTTTACCGTATTCTAGTGAAGGAGTCCATCTCTATGGGCAGATTTTGAATGAGAAGTTAATCTTCTGAATATTCCCATAATTGTAGCATTATCATATTTATTCTATAGTAAATTCCCCACCCATGATGTTAATGCAATTCTGAAAATTGTTAATTGCTCAAGTGTTTGGAACTTAGAGCCTACTTTTTCTTTTCACAGACACTTGTTTTACAGTTGAAGATGTGCTCTCAAACCATAATAGTTCCTATTAAATTTCATACATTTTGTTTAACAATGAAATTAAAAACAATGTATATTATCCTAATGAGTATCTTTCATCCACTCTTTCCATTCCTGCCTCCCATTCCCATTCTGTTATTAACTTCTTTCTCCTCACACACTCCCTCCCTTCCACCCTCCTATTCACTCCCATTATCTTTCCTTATTGTATAGGACACAGCATACTTTACATAAGCACTCCACCATATCACTGGTAACAGTGAAAGTACAATATTAGGGAATATGGCATATACGTATATGGTGTTGCATGGGTAATGTGGGATAGAGTCATGGTGAGTACAGTTAGCCAAGCCAATGAAGGACAAGAGGAAAGAAGGTATCAAACACAATTTTTCCCCATACACCTCCTTTTAGGGTAACCAACCACTCCCGTATCCTCCATCTCCCTCAGTCACCAGCTAATATAATAGCTCCTGTCAATACTACTGATCACTAATCCACCTTCCTCATAACACACACAAACTACCACTCAAAATCAGTATGATCTCATTTCGTCTCAATGATGGGACATCATTAAATAACTTTAATACAGCAGTAAGTTACACTGACTGGCACCGAGAGTTTACTGATGACAGGGGTGGTCATGAATGGGTTAATATTTTTCTGCAAAAAATACAAAGCCTTTACAATAGATACTGTCCTATTAAAATTAAGCAGATCACAGCTAACAAATAGTAACCCAGGCCCCATTAATAAAATACACGACTATGAAAAAAATACAGATTAGGCTTAATAACTAAAGTATAACCCAAAAATTATACGTCAGTACTTAGGAAACTAATAAGGAAGTCTAAATAACTGTATTATGCTAGCAGGTTCAATGAAATAAAAGGTGATATGAAAATGATTTGGAACACGCTCAAATCCTGGGTTCTCAGAAAATGACCGAAGCCAGAGATTTTGTCGTAACCAAACCCAAGGAACTACATATCCAGCCTACTACAGTAAATGATTTCTTCTCTACCATGGGATCAAGTCTCAAAAGCCCAAGTAACAATGATCAAGCTTAGAAGTTTTCCAAATTCCTTGTATCTGGCTCCAACAAATCCTACTGAGGTCTTTGATAATAAACTCATTGAAAAATAAGTCAGGAAACTCAGCACAAGTATTATTGCTATTGGTACTTGTGCTTTCATCCACCAATGCAATACTACTCAACAAATCATTAGAAACCAACACATTCCCAGCAATGCTTAAGACAGCAAGGGTTACCCTAACACACACAGGAGACCCAACCAACACAAATAACTACAGACCTAAATTTAATCTGCCATTGTTATCCAAAATCTTCAAAAAATTCATCCATAAGAGCCTATACTCTTTCACAGCAGTATTCAACATACTCAACCCCTCCTACTATAATCCATGATAACATCTCCAACCATCATAATCAGTCATTGCATTTCCTCCCACTACAATCCGTCATCAAGGCTGGCAATTAGGTTATATAAAAAAAATTAAACAATCATCAAATTACCCACCCAGATAAGTTCTTCAAAAACCTTCATCCTAGGAAATGCTGAGGAAAAAGGATGTAAAGGAAGTTGTGAGTGCTAGGGGCTTGAACATCCAACAGGCTTTCTGAGTGTGTTAGGAGTGAGTGGAGGTAAGTGGCTTTCATGATTTAACTTGCTGTAGGAGTGTGAGCAAGTTAACATTTATGAAGGGATTCAGGGAAACTAATTAATAGGAGTGGAGTCCTAGAGGTGGGAAGTACAGTGCTTGTACTTTGGAGGGGTGGGAATCCTGCAGTTTGGAGGGGCATCTGAACTGTGATGTCAGCAAGCTTCTGGCAAGACAGTGATTGAGTAATTGACAGTGAAAGTGTTTTCTTCCTTGGCAGGAGATGGCTGGAATGTTAAAAAAAATTATGCAATAAAATATCTAGAATTTTCAGCTGTTAAATAAATTTACATTTATTAGTTTATCTACGTAGGACATGAAAAATTTTGGCCAACAGCATTTCAAATTTACATTACTGAACAAGAAAATGTGTGTATAAAAATCTAAGTAGTTGGAAAATATGCTTCAAATATTATATTAGTAAATAAATTCTGGTTTTAGACTATTATTACAGTTATCCATTATCCCAGAGCTAATAAGTCCTTTCCCATTCTATGATGTTATAACTTGTATGTAACTACACTAGTTCTGAATTATCCACAAGAAAATTGCTTCATTAAAAAAATAAAACATAGTTGGTAAATGGCTGACATTCTGGCAGCCCATGAACATTTTATAATTACTCCTCATCAGGCATATCTGGAAGTGCCAAATGCAAGTGCCTATGTAGTTCTAAGACTGAGACACTCATGCAACATATGGGAATCTTTATTAAAGAAACGTTTTGCCACACAGTGGCTTCATCAGTCCAATACAAAGCAGAAAGGTGTAAACAGAGGAGTTTGAGGTAATCAGTCCCTCAGCCTGGAATTGATGTGTTCAGTCCATCACT